CTTGGAAGCCGTCGTTTATGGGGTCTTCCTGAGAACGGTTGTGATTGGGATTTTCCACTCGGAGGAAGGGAGAGTCAACTTGATTTCTTCGGTCAGTCAGGTAAACGGTATCACCTGCTTATCTGTCTCCCTGCTGTGGAAAATACACTTCATCTTCAGGAACAGCAGGTTCGAAAAAGTGCTACAGAATCGTGGCAGACGTTGCCTTGATATAGTCCCCACAGTGCTGTGTTTTATGCCGTATCTCTACCTGAACCTCAAGGCCATCATTGAAAGTGATGTCTCAACGGTGCGCTTCAGTGCTTTCGTTTTCCTGAGCTATGATCTCTGGCGGACCAATCTTTTGATACTGCACAGTGACGCTGTCATACTCATCTTGAATATTCAGAGAGACTCAGCGAGCTTGATCTCTAGCTCGGCATTCGCCACGGATGTAGACTATTTATTGTCCCGGAAATGGCTCACCCGCGATCTCATCGCGGAGGTCAATAAGCTCTTCGCACTTCCTCTGATTCTCTGCTACACCCACCTCATCATGATGTTAGTCCATTTTTTCGACGACTATTTCGGACAAAGAGCGGAAACGAGCGGCCTATATATGATCATATCATGCTTGATTTGCGACTCGCTGCAAATTTTCTTCTTGGTGACTCAATGCACGAAAGTGGAAGAAAACAATCTTCAGCTGGAGAAATATGTTTTCAAGCAATCTCTGAGCGGGAACAACAAGTTCCCGATCGAAGCGGGTCTACTGTCTGCGCTCCGCTCAGTAGAAGAATGTGACGTCTTGAGAGTCGCAACATTCCCCATCAACGCTAAGAATTGCTTGAAATATCTGACGTTCTGCGTGACGCTGGTCGCAATCATTCTCCAATTCGACTACAAAATCGTCGGCCAGGTTAACGATCTCGGTAGCCCGTAGCGGGGCTCGTTAGGCAGTGCCCAAGAGACTCTTTCGAATTGAATCCCGCAATCGACTGCCGAGCTCCATGCGATTACGAAACTGACTGTTCGTGCTCACGAACCTGACGATCGCCGTCATACACCCCTCTCTCTCTCCACTGGATTGCATCATTTCCAGTTGGAGGAAAGCTTCTTCGACGATCGATAACGTTGCAAAAGGTTCCTGTCGGAGCTTAGCAGCGAGAAAGGTCGATGTGCATCCGAGTCTTGGAAAGAATCTTCGGATGTGGAGATGGAGACCATTGGACATTGTGGAAGGTTCTCCCCCGTCCTCCGAGCAAACGAGAGCACGGCTCGAAAATGTTTGGGTTTGTCGGCGGCGGCCCATGGAGATGCTGAAGTCTGCTATGGAAACCGTAGGACATTCTCGCTAATTTGGAAGAACCCGTATTTGACGGAATCCGATTCTGCATTGCGCATCACGCTCATTCATGGGTTCGGAGATTAGAAATCTCTTTCAGGATCGCTTTCAGGATCGATGCGAGAGACCTTCAAGTCCGGGGAGCACTCTGTCCAATAAATGTACGCGGCTAATTGAGTCTCATCGATCAGGTGGCTGCGCGTCCATGGCCGTGCGAGCTTGGTTGAGCTTCGAATCTGAGGCACGAGCGCTCTTCCATTCATGCCCACAGAAGTTCCGAGTCGCAAACTTCTGCTGAGTTTTTCCCCCCTCAGAGCTTAGAACTGCTTGCTGCCGTGAATCTCTGAAAGTGACACGGAAGCCGCACCAGTCTTACCCCGACTCCTATTGAGCCTTGTTCCTCGATGAAAGCAGACAGACTCTTCCGCCTCGTGTGCGGTCTAGATGGACTTTCCTCCGCAGTGACACGAAGTTCCTGCCTCGAGAGCATTTGCCTCTTAAGGTGGATCCTCAACGCGATCCTCTTCTGTTTCTTCTTCATAATCTTCGTGCCTGGCTGTCTATCGTTGGGAACTCAGCAGATTAGCTTGCGCACCATGTCGAACTTGATTACTGGGATCGCCTCGTTGCTCATTTCCCTTTATTGCAAACTTTCATTCATTTTCAAGAATGCAGACTTCCGCTTCATCTTACAGAGACGTGACCGACGCTATCGGGATATTGTCCCCCTCATCTTGTGCATGAGTCCGTACATTTTCCTGAATACCAAAGTCATGATTGGGAAGGATGAACTCCCTCAGCGTGTCGGTGGGCTGGTTTACCTGCTCTATGACCTCTGGAGGACCAGTTTCTTGATGTTGTACAACGATGCAATGATCACAATCTTGAATATTCAGAGTAGCTTGATTGACTCGTTTGGACTTCCAGAAGGCGTTCAGGACGTGAACGATTTGCTCGCAGAAAAATGGCTCATTCGCGACCTCATAGGGAAAGTCAATGAGTTATTTTCATTCCCTCTAATCACCTTCTACATACATCTTTTCGCATTGGTCGTGTTTTTTTCGGCTCCTCCTGCGGACCAGCGCCCGAATCGGGAACTCTCTGTGTGATTTTCGTATGCCTTCTCTGTGACTCATACGGTATATACACTACGGTGAAGAAATGTTCATCAGTCAAAGAAAATAATGTCACACTGGAAGCTTTTGTTTTCCGGCGGAGCTTGATCAAAGATCGCGACGACCCCTCTGCTCTCAACTTACTGGCTGTATTCCGGATGCAGGATGAATATGATGTTCTGAAAGTAGCATGTTTCGTAATCGACGGCAAGAGTTCTCTCAAATATCTGTCTTTCTGCGTGACCTTCGTCGGGATCGTACTGCAGTTCGACCACATGGTCTTGCGCCACGTGAATCGCTTGGGCGCGTCGTACTGAGATCAAGCCCGAAAAACCCGCGAGAGCTCTTCTTTTCTGTTCGGGAGTAGCTCGAAGGAAGTCTGCGGGACACATGCTGATGCCAAGACCGGGACGTTCCGTGATACGATTTTAATCGCGAGATTCCCGCAGATCTGCTCCTGGATGTCTCCTCTGGCTTGTTGGCGCCTTCTTTTAACACCTTGACCTACGTGGAGACTCTCGCTTCACATGGGTTCCTCTTGACGGATAATCATTCACCCACCCGACTGACGGATTCTAGCGCCACCCTCATTGACCACGTCTATCGTCTCATGAGATCAGGAGGGACCGTATCCGCTTGTGAAGTGGAATCCAGAGATTTCAGCGATCACGAACTTATTCTAATCGACATCGAGGTACCGGATCGGCCGTATGCCCGTGGGATATCGATGTACAGAGACAAGATTGAAAACTCTGTCGCTGGGGAACGGTCTGCATCTTACGACTTGTCGGCAGTAAACCAGAGTGCTTCGGCCGGGGAGGCTACCAAAAGCTTCTCATCACTTTGTCTTGAGGCCATTGACTCATGCAAGTCAATTCGATATGTACCTCCGAGAAGATTTCAACCCATCAGAGGATGGTTGACCCCCGACCTGATCAAAGAAATAAGAACCCGGGTCGAATTTCGAAGGAGATATAAAAGAAGTAAGAAAGTTAGCGACAAGATTGTCTTTGAGTGCATCAGGGCTCTCCTGCGCGGGAGGATCAGGGCTGCGAGGTCTGAATACTACGAACGCAGACTAGACTCACTTGCTTCCGACCCAAAGAGGGCTTGGAGAGTGGTGAACTCACTCTGCGGTCGAACCCGAAGAGGAGATACGCTAAGTCCGGAGAAGCTCCGAATGTCTTTGGGGGACATGAATCAACACTTCGCCTCTATTGGGGGCAACCTCGTTCAGAGAGTAGCGGAAACCATCTTAAGTGACGACATTCCCAGGGTATCGAGTGAGCCGACTTTCTCTCACTTTACGCCGTCGACCCCGTCGGAGATTCTGAACATTCTCAGCAACTTCAGGGCACATAGGTCCCCCGGAATTGACGGTATCCCTCCGATATTCCTGTATGAGGCCAGGAAAACTCTGGCGGAGAACCCCGGCTCTATTATAAACAGAACATTTAACGAGTCCGTCCACCCGGAAGCTCTCAAAGAGTCTCTGGTTCATCCCATATACAAGTCCGGTTGCCACGCGGACATCAACAATTATCGGCCCATCTCATTACTATCGAGCATCAATGAAGTTTTGGAAAAGGTTGTCGCCGGTCAACTCACTGACCACATCGAGGAACTTCGTATATTCAACGATAAGCAATTCGGCTTCAGAGCTGGACGATCCTGCGTAGATGCTGCGCTAAAGCTCACGGACTATGGGAATTCAGGGTGATTCCCTGGCTTTGCTCAAATCACATCTCATGGCTCGAAGACAGGTTTACCGCCACGGTGAGCATGTTAGCGGGGAGACCTCCACGGAGTGGGATTTCCCCAAGGCAGCGTTCTGGGATCTCTATTATTCACCATCTATATGAACGATCTTCTCAACCGAATGAATCCCGCGGAAACGCATTTGCCGACGACACAGTCGTGTTGGTCAGTGACCTCACTCTCCATTCAGCTCGGCGCAAGGCATTCGACTGTCTCACCGAGCTATCGTAACGAGCTTTCGACCTGGTGTGCTCTTCAGACCTTCTGCTCGCTCACTGCCGTGAATGCTCGAGTGGAAGCATCGTTTGAGTATGCCAAGTTATTGAATCAAGTACATCATACAGATACCTCGGCATCGTCCTCCAGAACTACAGGGATCGGTCCTTTTCCTTGCATCAGACGAGCCATTCTCCAGGAGAACAGACCACTGATCCGTTCAGACTTTGCGATGAATTTCGGATTGATAGAACAGCCGCTCCGCAACTTGTTTGCTCGGATATCAAAGGAGTCATCCAAAAGCGCGATACAATTGGGAAAGCATTTTCACATCGGCGGAAGCGAGGATATCGATCAGGTGGGAAGAATGACCACCACGTAGGAGAAACAAGAAACGGTTCTGTACGCCGTTGATAAGTGCCCTGAGGTGGACCTGGGACGGTTTCCATAAGGGTGAGCAATACAAGAATTCGGGAATTACAAGGGAACGAAACAAACGTATGTAGAGCAAACGTCGTTATTCGACGGTTCCTTCGACCCCTTGTAATTTCCCTCGAATCCTAACTTCTTTTCAAAGACTCACTGCGATGGAAGCTCCGTCTAACCTCGGAGTACCTCAGATCACGCGAACAGAGCGTGGAGAGCTGAAGTTGGCATTTCGTGGACCCGTTTACACTCAGGACAAGAAGAACTCCATTGGCACCTCACATTTCTGGCGTTGTGAGTCCAAAGACGAATGCAGAGCCCGGCTGCACACGGCTGTGGGGACAGACGAGGCTGTGAAAGTCGTCGGGGAACACAACGATCCAGCCGATGCTGCATTTGTTGAAGCCGCTGCAGGCAACTCCGAGGTCGAGCGTCGGGCGCTCTCGACTCAAGAAGCTCCTTCCCAGCTGCTCAATAACCTGGCGGCGAGCCGTTCTTTTGCCGGCAAGGGATGTCTTCCGAAGCCCGATTCTATCAAACGCAGAATCAACAGATTACGAGGCGTGAGCTCCCTAGCACCCGCATATCCGAGTGACCGAGCTTCTATAGTTGTACCCGAGGCCTACACCATGTACCAGTGCGAGCCAGGAGCTCCAGAACGCTTTCTCCTTGGCGACTCTGGCGTCGGGTATGAAGAGCGAGTTCTGATCTTCGGTCGAGAAACGGCTGCCGAGTGGGTGGGCTACGTACAGCGAATTTACGTCGATGGAACTTTCAGTCTAGCCCCGGGAAAATTCGAGCAGTTGTTCGTGATCCGTTCGCTGATTGTGTAGGATACGTGATCCCGTTGTGCTACGGACTGCTTCCAGACAAGTCGGAAGACTCGTATCGTCGTATGCTCGACCAAATTATGGAAGCCTCCCCAGCTCTTGATCCCTCGTCAATCGCCATGGACTTCGGAATGGGTCTCATAAACGCTCCCAGCGCGGTTCTTCCAACCGCTGAAGTCCATGGGTGTCTCTTCAACTTTGTGAATAATATGAAGAAAAAAGTTGCATCGTTCAATCTCCTCAGACGTTACAACACGGATTCGAACTTCTCAATCTGGGCTCGGATGATCCCGGCGATGGCTTTCGTGAGAAGGGATCTGTTGGAAAGAACGATGATGGCTCTTCTGGAAGTCTTACTCGAGGAACAGAGACCAATATTCACCTACTTCGAACTAATATGTATGTCGGTCGCATACTGGGCGTTCGTCTGGATGGGACGCTCGTCTGGATGGGACCCTCAACAGGGACACTCCGCTGTTACCACAGGAAATGTGGTCCGTATTTGAAACGACTCTCAGAGGGGCGAGTCGAACGAACAACTTCGAAGAAGCGGTGCATCGGGAACTCCAAGGAGCATTCGGCGTCTGTCGTCCTGCAATTTGGAACTTTATCGATGGTCTCCGCCAAGTGCAGCACTAGGCAGACGCTGAAGTCGAGCAGTACAATGCCGGTGCTCTTCCGCGACCCAAAAGGCGCAGATACCTAAACAGGGATGCCAGGTTGCTCGAGTTCGTACAAACCATTGAAGCTCGAGAGCCAGTAGCTTTCTTGCAAGGGGTAGCGGGCAGCGCACATCTTTCTCATGGAAAATTAGAGACCTGTTGTGTTTCCCGATACCATGGACATTCTAAGTGGCACGATCATAACTCTGAAGTACTCACCATGCGGAATAAAAAACTACCCGCGGTCACGCCTTTTGTCGAGCTTACCCTCGAATGTCTGAAGTCAAGGCATTCGTCATAGTTTGACCCGAGATCGTCTTGTTCTTCGGCCTTCGAACAATTCATCAGAAGCATCGCTTCAATAGTTTCTTTGTTTGAAAACTTTCTCTTGGGCTTGGCGCTGAATCGTCCTCGACTTTCCAGCGCCGGATTTTCCGCGCCGAATCGTCCTGATCCGCGCTCGTCCATCCCGAAAGTCTCCTGCGGACAATCCTTGGTGTTGAATCCAGCGCCTAGCCCTGTCAGTGCATTTTCTTCCGAAGCGATCTTATTAGAACATCGGACCCTGCTCAAAGATGTCGTGTCGGCTATAATCTAGGCCAGGGAAAATTGATTCGCATCGAATCCGGGCTGAGATATCATGATTAACACTTCTGGGCATCCTACCCATGATTCCACCTCACGCTAATGATTCCACCTCGTAATGATATTGCTTGCCACGACGATAAGCAACAACCAATGACTTATACATATTTCTCATTCACAATTTCTGACGAGACACCATCCACGACTCGTGATTCGCGAAAACATGGTATTGCAGCGCGGGCAGATGATTCCTCATGTTACGATCGAGGAACTCTTCGTCTCTCGGTGGGCATGGAGGGAAGGCTTTCATGAAGGATTCATGAAGTAGCTCCTTTATTCGCATATTTCGTTGGCCTCCAGCAGTATTTCCGCAAATTGGCTGATTGGGATCATTTTCACGATGTCTGTCTGATGATAGATATCACCGCGAAAGCCCCATGTGGAAGCGCTGCAGACAAGGTAGATCCCGCGGAGGCGCGTCATAATTCTTTCCTTATCTCCTACCCAACAATCTGAGTTGCCCCCTCTATTCTCGGTAGGATATCCTGAGCACGCTTTGGCTATTCGTTGTCTCGATCGACAAGACTCGAGCTCTTTTGTGAGGCTCAGTATGCCGTGGCCTCAGGGATTTCTGGGACGTACACCGGTACAGCGATCTGGAATCAGGTATTCGAGTTTCGATGGACCGCCTTGGTTTTTTCTATATTCACCAGTCACAGCCGGTGCCGGTCTGTCTTAGTATTTTGTCTCTATCATTCATCCGTCTCTTTCGTATGCATCAGGCTTTCATTGAAGGTATCTTTTCGATATGCTCCCGAAGGCTTCGATGATGATGTACGCTCGACATTTGGAGATGGAGCTTCGCGCATCAACGATATCAGAACCCCGATGAGGAAGATTGTTCTCGGGTGGGAGGAATTAACTTCCTCCAACCACCACACACATGTCGAGGAGGCCAAAAAGTCGGGATTCATATCCAGCGGCCGATTGGCCCACGGCCTTCTGCAAAAACAGGAGCACGGGTCACAGGGAAAATTCAGTTCGCAGAGACGAGGAACCGGAAGCGCGGAATGACGAGGAAACGGAATGTGGGTGCTATTGGGTAGCAGGGAGACGGTGAATCTGGATGCCGAGGAGCGAGCGCACCCAGAGCAAGCGCATGAGTGGAGAGTCTAGCAGTGTAGCGCTACCAAGTCGCCGAAAACTCCTGTAAAACGGGAACGCTTGTACTGTATATAGACATTCTGCGGCGAATCGTCTCAGAATCCTTAATTCCCACAGGTATCTGTGATTGCCCACTCGCCAATTCCTATGTATGTAATCACATGATTTATTATTCGAATGAGCTTCTGCAGCGTCCAGAGTTTCTACGCATTGATCCGAGCTTCATCTTGATAGGGCGCCTGCTGCTATTGACGCATAAATATTCTTCACTCACTCAAGCCTCCAATTTCTCAGCTCTGAGCACGACCTCCCTGGGTTGACTGATGAGAACCTTGTTCACAATTTCTACTTGCTCATCTGTTCTCAGCTCGTAACTTCGGAAGATATGACACACCGCGAGCTTCATCGCTAGGAGAGCCGATCTCATTCCCACACAATTACGAGGACCGTCACCGAAGGGCTGATACGCGAGCGGGTGCCTCAGACTCTCCTTGAATCGCTCCGGGATGAAGCACAGAGGGTTCTCAAAGTTGCGAGGGTGATTGTGAGCGACCTGCGTGGGAAAAACCAAGGAAAGCCCTGCTCCGATCTTGACACCATCGTGATCAATTTCATCCGTGGCCACACGATTTGTGAAACTGCAAAGCATGAATACACTCACATAATGGACTTCAGGGCACCAAGGAGTGTGCATAAGGGGCAGACAGGGGAAGCGGGAATAGGCCCGCTCGTTATTCACCCCGTCACAGGAGGATAGAGTCGCATCGATTCGTTTATGCACCAATCAAGGTATTCGAGCTTCATGGCTTTAGCAAAGAGCGAATCCCCATGTTCATCTCGACCAATGGAACTTACTATTTCTCGGCGGAGCTTATTCTGAACTTCTGGAGAGATCCCCTCTCGTTGACAGAGATTCGTGAGGATCTAAAGTCGGCGAGGAGACCGTCCATTCCATCCGCCCGAGGCTCCGAATTCCCGTATGGGCAGCGATCTCCATAGAGATTTCTCGGATCGCCAAGCATGTCGGATACATCTGACCCCTCAGGCTCCAGCCAAGCGTTGCAGAGAAGACAGAGGAGCGTGGACGACGGGACGTCCGCAATCCATGTAAACATGGAGTTGTTGCGCTCATCACACAGGGCTGACCCATGACTCAGCTTTCGATGGAGGAAGGTCCTCGGAGGTCCGGTCCAATGAAGGGCCAATACTGTCGTACTGAACGAGCGCGTTCCGGATGCGGGAGAGGTGTTCCCCTCCCTTCCCTGGTCTATCAGACGGCGACCGATGAGAGCGCGGCTGTCACCAGACGTCTCGGATTATCCAGTGAGAAGACCGATCACGCCATGCCATGCAAACGCCTCGTCCAAATAGAATCCCGCAACCGCTCGAGACCACTTCCCCGTGATCAACTCGATCCTACGGCCATCAGCGACTGCGTGGGCATGTCAGGAGGATCTGGCGAGTGAGATTCAATGCGCGGAGCAACCTTCGCACGCTGGACGAGACGAAAGGCGCTAATGAGGAGATCGTGGCATCAATCCTCCGAGGTTGCACGAGTGGAATATGCAGAAGAGATACTCGATTCGATCAGCTTCCACGCAGGAACGGAAGCCAAAACGAATGCCTCAAGACCGGTACCGTCAGGTCTGACGACACTTCTAACCCCTTCCTGCTCGCGACCGATTACGAGAGGTGGCCGGTCGAGGGTTGTCATGGTGAGCTGATCATTGATCAGTGATCATCAAGAGACTCAGCCTCCACGTTGACGCCCCCGCCCTTCCGACAAAGAAGGCGGCGGCTATAGGCTCTCACACGACCTATTCCGATAAACTATATACTGTAGGAGGATCCATTGCTCCACCCGAGAGAGCGAGGATCCCGAAGAGTCGCTGGAAGGATAGGCTGAAGAGTTTCAGAAAATGATCCCTTGATGCCATGGGGACAGGCCCGACGAGAGAGGGGGTATCGGGGACCTGTTACCCCGGGCAGAGTTCCCGGAAGGGCCCCTAGCTCGGGCTTTAGTCAAATAATTTTGTCCGCGTCCCAAATTCTTCCCCTTTCCAAAAGATGTGTGGAGAGGAAAACGCTGCTCTGACCAATTCGTTCCATCACTCCTCTGACAGATCACTCTGCGGCCCTGCATGGGGGCTTATGTATGTAGCACTTCGGCGGAGCTCGAGATACGGAGCCTTACAGACATCTTCCCAGGTGCTTCTGGGATACTCACGGGGCAGCCGAATTCGAGCTCGCGTCACATAAGCTCTGTACAGAATTTTCTGAGCCCGACGACAAGGAAAATTAAAGTACGGAGCCGAAGAGGGTGATTGTGGTACCAGGGACTCGGGTGAGAAAGCCTTGGGGGATCACATGATGCTTCGCTTGTCCTCTTTGCAAGAGCTGATGGAGCGAGGTGGCATTCTGAGCCAAGGAAAGGCAAGAACGGAAGGGAGCAGTGACCTCTCTCTCAGCCATCGAGCCTCGGCGACGAGCCGGGTAGATCAGCTCGAGAGATTCCGACTCGTGTAACGCGAATGGGATCGGGGATTGAGGAACGTTCTGCTTAATATGAGATTGAAGAGGAATGTCCTCGCCCGTAAGCAAATTCATGGACGGGGGTAACCGATACGAAAAATGTCGAGAGAGTCCGCCATGGCAAGTCCGGGAGGCATCAGGGCTCCCGCTGCGTAAACCACCTGTGGTCGAGAAAAGGGTCGACGAGCCCCTCGGGACGCGCGAGTCGATGACCGTTTCTTAGTGGGTCCCCAAGACTTCCGGCGCTTCCGCAGCATTGCTCCACAGATATTACTAGAGCAGCAAGGACCATGTCTGCAAGTACGTGGATGTAGTTCCAGATAGATGTGGGAGGCTAGGAAAATTCGGGGAAGATCTGGAGGAAGTCCGGATGATGTCCGCCGAGCCTTCGGAGGGGAGCATTCCCAGCTGCTGTTCTGCGTCTACCTATGCGACACCGTGAGGTACTCCGAGAGTCACTCCGAGGGGAGATCGGATCCCCCGGGTGTGATATGAAGTCGACCAGCTCACGGCTCGAACAGGTCTCCTCAGCGGATTGCCCGTGAACGATCGTATACATGGACAATGAACTTCACCTGATTGTTACTTATCATGGGACATTTGCATTGATTCTGTAGAAGGGGTCGAAAACATGGAGTCGAGTTTTTCAACCGCGAGTTTCTTTCGGTAGAGAAGCGTTCTGTCATATCGGAACTCTAATGAATGCGCTGCATCAGCTTCAAGCTCATCGAAGTTGTCTGGACTGCTCCGCTGAACTGCTCTTCCAAATGGGAACAGGAGGTAGCGATCCCGTGTTGTGGCGCGAAGGAAGTTGAGTTTTCGAGAGACCCGTCCGTAGTCCGATCCGTAGTCAAACCCGAGTCCTCCCTTTCTATAGCGGAAGAGGGAAAGTCCCCTGGAACGGTATTCTCGAACGACGCAGAGCATGGGGGAAATGAATCGGTGCTGCTACGGAATATGGATAGGGAACGTAGCGAGTTTCTGTGGGCAGATATCGTCTGAGTGCCCTCCTTCCAAAGAGCCCTCTCCCCAGTGTCCTCCTGTGCGCAGGCGCCTCACAACTGCTCTCAAGCGCAGCATCTGAGCACCCAGTCGCGTGAGTGTAGAAAACACGATGGAGCCTCTCTGACAGTCATCATGTCCTCACAGAATCGAGCACAAAGTAAGTTCGAATCCACTCTGGATTTACGGGTGAAATTTTCGTTCCTCCGAGATTATTCGGAGCGTTAGGCTCCGCTCCGAAGGCGAAATCCTTGAAAAGTGTCCCGAACCCGTGTTCGATGAGTAGCTCTCGGGATTCAGAGTCACGGGAAACTGCCACCGGCAGTATCAATCGAAGCCGGGTCGCTGTGCCTCCTCATACAAGTCGGTGCATAGACCGTCGTTGGTCCTAAGTCACCTCGTCACGTTATACCACGCCATCGAAGGGTGGTTTTCCCCCAAGCCTCGAGAGAAGATCTTCGACAGTGAGAGCGAAGGCCTGATGTTCGTGAACGGTCGATGTCTTCAATGATTCGATATGAGTGATCTCGTTACGCGCATTTCAAATTTTTTGAGAATTTCGTCATGCAGGCGATCGCGTCGGTGTCGCAAGTGACGGCCCGCTCTGCGAGGCAATGAGTTCCCGAGTCCCCAGCCAATCACCAGCACGTGATGTGGCGTCCCCAAGATTTTCTTTGAAAACAATAGTAAGAATCGAGCGGCTCCGGGACAATCCACATTCGCTGAGACGGAGAGGAGAAAACGTCTGTGGGAGGGTCTGGTCGTTCCCTCAGCCCGGATGAGGGACGGCTACGATACGAATGTTCTCATCGACGTAAGCCAGGGTTCCCGTCGAACCCCTGCGAGTTCTCATGGGAACTGATTATACAACTTCGAAGAGCTTTCACGCTGCGACGGTATGAGATCGCGTACGCCATCTCCAATGGATGTACTGAGTGCTTTCCTCCAATACCAATCTTCCCAGGACTTTTGACGCAGCGCGATCCTAAGTGCTTCGAAGGGAGATATTGTACGGACGAGTATCAACGACGAAACGAGGTAAAGCCACTTGGCTGGATAATTTTCAATCGTTTGCGTGATCCCATTAGCTTCGAGGGTTTCATGCTTAGCTATATGTGCCATCAAATCGATGCTATAGATCGAGGCTTCTCTTGAGGATGGTTGAGACTGGTCTGTTATCCAAGCCACATACCCAAAAATCGAGGGAAGTCGTCGGGTCCGAGCTTGACAGTGGCTCGATTCCGCACCCACCGCGGCCTCTGGGAATTCGCGCCTCCACGAACCTCAACTTTACGGATGCGCTCTCAAGAATGAGCGGTACCAGAGCGCATGTCGCTTGACCGTAGGCTGTGTACAGCGAACATCAATGAATAAGGAGCGCATACTCCTAATTTGACTGATTGCAAATCTGAGAAAAACTCGATTCAGACTCTCGACGGCGGCACGAAACCGCAGCAAAATTCAACGCTGATGTGTCGACGGTTTTCAACATAGCTCGCTTCCTACGCGACGAGCAGACCCGAAATTTCCATGACCCGAATTGGTTGGTTCAGATGATCTTCAAGTCGTCGTACTAAGCCGGAGCAGCGTCACCGCGCGTTGATGATACCTGATGTTGGCCATTGCACCGGTTCCGCATTTTTCTGTATGCGAACGGTATTCTGGGGTACTCCTGCGGACCTCATTACCTAGCTCCATACCCAAGTTACGATCTCGATCATATTGGCAGGATCGTGTATGAGCTGCGCAGGGATCCTCCGTCGAGACAACAGGATCTCTGCCTCGCCGGCCATCGTATGCGAAAGATCCTCGCAGCGAGCGATCCGAGACACCGCGACTCCGATGCCCCTGACACTTCGGCCTGATGTCATAGCGTTGTTCATGCGAACAAGGGGGATTGTCTTGCACGAGCTGCATGCATGATTCCCTTGTGCCACGTGCCGCTCACTTTCGATGTGATCTTCCGCTCAATCTGGCGAAGGGAGGAAATATCTTAATCACCAGAGTGAGGACACCCGGGCGCTCAACGCAACCTGAATCCCGGACACCCGGACGAGCTGCGAAAAATCTGGGAACCGAGGCATCTTCGCTCCTGAATCCTTGCAAAGTCTGCATACTCGAGCGGATTCACAGATTTTCCGCGAGGGAGCCCATTCGGAACCGCACATGTCAGATTTTGCCATGTATCCCCGAGAAAGTGGATCGATTGAGCTCAACCTCATTGAACACGATTGATCTCTGTCGGATCTACTGCGGAGTGGGATCCGCGCCGTTTGGAAGAAGGACTCCTCAAGGGATCCCGATGCGTGGCTCCGATGAGTCTCGTCGTCAACCATCTCTGACAATATCCATTAGCATGGAAGACAGTGAGTTCACTCGTGAAAACTTATCAACATCCGGGAAAAATAAATTTACCCCCGACGTATGCGAAACACGAGGTTCTCCGGATGTTCGGCGGAGCCCTCGGGGAGAGCGCCTATATTTTTCATCTTATTCGTCCGCCGCATCATCAAGTCCCCATTTCTATGAGGACGGCGCGTTCGCCAGAAGAAGAGATGCCGTGATACCGCCTTGAATGCAGCTAGACAGCACCTACACCAGAGCTCTGTATGATTACGGCGGGAGCTGCTCGTGCCACTGTCATGGATCACGGATGCCTCTATATGGGTTTGCCCTTCGCTTGAATATAGTGGCGATAATAAGCTGTGCCGGGAGGGATAATCAGAATCCGAACCACGAGAGCTTGCAAGGGACATGCAAGCGTAACCAATAAGAGCCGCGGGGTCGGATCCGCTGGGCCTATTCTCGGGAACAGGTACCATTCCGACGATGACAGGCCGATTATTCTAGAACTCATCGCAGTACAACACTGTCTCCACCGAGCGGAACGACTCATACAGGCGGACTCGAGCACGCTGACGAAAATTACAGTCGAATACTTCCACTTAGAAAGAGAGTTGACTCTTATGACTGTTTTTCTCTCCTCAGGCGACGCGCCGCCGATGAAGTTACCCCGCTTGCACTGGTTGCATCGATGGAGTCCTTTTCACGAGAGACCAACTCTGCTGCGCAATCCGTCACAGAAGCTATTCTTCGTATACCTTGCATCATTTATTGCCTGCGCATTTCTCCTCTACGTCAGTTCAGCCCCGAATGCGAGTCCGAATCTGGCAGATGAAGTCAAGCCGAGAAGCGAGGTCAACGCGTTCAGGGATGTCCAGCCTGTCAGAGTCTCTAGTCACGAACCGACGAGGGGGAATCATTTCACTCCCATCAAAGACATATCGCTCGATGGGGGAGCTAAGGACCCAAGCATCCTATCCGAGGAGGGAGTCAAGACAATTCTGTTATGGAACTCCTTCTTCAAACAGCCCGATTATATTCCCCCGCTGTCGCAGATGTGCCCAGAATACCCGTGTCGTGTCACGTCGGATCGATCGGTAGAAGCCGACGCCGTCATAGTTCATCTGAGAGACATCGATCCGGCTGATGTTCCGAAACGCAGATCACCTGATCAGATCTTTACCCTATTGAATGCGGAAGCACCCCCTTACTCGCCGCCGATACCTGAGGTCTTCAATGACCTTTTCAACTGGACGATCACGTACCGACTTGATGCTGACTTCCCGCTGATGAAGAGGGTAGAAACTCTTTATCGATACAAAAAATCAGATAAGCTGGACTATTTCGCTAACAAAACGAAAATGGCTGCTTGGTTCGTTTCTCACTGCAGCACGGCTAGCGAACGAGAGACCCTGGTTTCAGAACTTTCGCGTTACGGCGTCCATACTGACATTGTCGGAACCTGCGGTCCGCTTAAGTGTCCCCGCGAGCAAGCTGATGATTGTTTCAGAGAGTTCTCGAAGCACTATCTGTTCTATCTAAGCTTCGAAAACGCGATCTGTACAGACTACGTGACCGAGAAATTGTTCAACGCTCTAGAACTCGGCGAAATGGTTCCCGTGGTTCTCGGTGGAGCCGATTATTCCAGAGTTGCCCCACCTGGAAGTTACATCAATGTGAATAAGTTCGCTAGCGTCAAAGAGCTGGCACACTACTTGCAGAAAGTGGGAAACGATCCTAAGCTCTATAACAGCTACCATAAGTGGAGGTGAGTTCGCAAACAATTCGAGCTTCATGAAACATATCATATTGTATAGGTACTACTTGAAGAAGATACCGATCTCATCACGGAAGATATTGTGAATGAAATATCGATCAGATAAAGATATTCCGTCGCTTGCAGGAACTTCTACCAATTGACAGAGCCCCCGCATTACGCCTGCAGACTCTGTGCTAGGCTACACACCATCCATCGTCGACGGATGTATCAGGATTTTAATGCTTACTGGCATTCAAACACGTGTCACGGTGGTTGGAGAAAAGCCTACAAACTCAACTGATTCGCCTGAGCCCCGGAGAATAGTCGAGTGTTCTTCAATGATCCCAGTCAAGACAACCCCCGGGGAAATGTGATAAAGATAGAGAAGGGTATGTTAGGAATAATATAATTTTATAAGTTGAAATGAATTTCGCAAATGATCTCCGACGAAGCTGGAGAAACTCCGGAACTGAGAAAAGTGATCGTGAATTTCTAATAAAATTACTCCCCATGAGGATGGAAGGACGGTCATTGAGACCAGTACATATTCAAGAATCTCAGCAGGGGGCGCTAAAGTATCCTAGAAGGCCGAGGAGAGAGCGGATGAGGGAAGGTTGAGCGACAGGCCGGCCTAAAACACCTCAGGTCTCCAGAGGCGCAGTGTTCCCTCTTAAGTCGTATCGGGGGACACTCGACTTCGAAACTTGATTCAGCTGCGCCGAATCGTGCTCGACAAGCATCTCCCTCACAAACCCATCATCCGATGACCTGCTCCTCACCCGCGTATCAGTAAAATCCCACCATCAATTATCACCGATGTTAAGATTCATTCGATTCATTCCAGTCCGCCCCGGGCGGCACCCTCGGGGGCGGCATTTTCGAGATCGACATTCAAAAAAACGGGTATTTTTGTGAAAATTTCCGAAATTTCTCGCGAAAAATATTCGGACAGGGGGCGGCATTTTGGTTGATCGCGTCCGAAAAATGAAAATTTTCGTTGACCGCCCCGGGCGTTACCATGGGGAAGCACGCCAATGCGAACACGACACAACTCAGCAAAACCGGTGTTCTTGCTGAAAACTTCCTCAAATTTACGGTCTATAGGCACTCGCGGCAGTGTCTAGAGACTCTCTCGAGCTTTTCCGATCACTCCCGTAGCTTCCTCCACGGGCAGCCCGTGCGCTCCGAGGGCTGTGATGGCGTCCGGAAAAGTGCGATGCGATTGTAGGAAGTCCAGCCTGTACAGGAGCGTCAACGAATAGATGCTGAGCTTTTCCGATAGCAGCTGCATCCTCCTCATGTAGCTTGTCACAAGCGAAGCTCTTCAGACGCTGGAAATTCTCTGCGTAGTATTCAACCGCTTTCAGCCAGGTTACCCAGCGAGTCACGATTGGTTTCGGTGGAAGGCTGGTCAACTTCTGCTTCGAAGAGGAAATGCGGGAAGGACTCTTCGAAAGTACCATCTTCATGCTCGCCATCAATCGATCTACCTTCGGAAAGAGCGAGCGCACCTGTTCGGACACTCTATGCAGGCCGTGCGCCACACGCGTGACATGTATCAACCGGGGGAATAGCACTCTGAAGCCGGCTCTAGCTTTCGTCATGTACCGAGCTGCGTCGGTCACGAAGACCAGTACATTCTCGAAGAGAACGCCGTCTGTCCACAGTGATTCCAGAGATTTCACGAACAATTGCGAAATCTTTGGTTTTCTCCAAAGCCTCGCACATGAGATGATAACTTCGACCGGAGCTTACCTTGTCTAGTTTACCTACAACAACGTGGGCAAGGCTACAGCGTTATCCGAAAGTACTGCATTTGTGGGGTTCTCGACAGATTTCGCCCCGGCTCGTGATAAAGAGTCGATATACTCTCGATTCAAGATAGAAAACTCACTTATGGGAGCTCATATGACGGAATTATATAAATATTCATGGAAATTCTGAAATCAATAGAATATGCAGTATGCAAGAAATTATGCGGTATGCACAATGCACAGCCCGACTTATGACACTGATGAGTCATCAGTGACTCCCACCAAGCACCTGAGGGGGTCCGCAGGGGCTCCTCGGAGCCCCACGGCATCGATGTGTGAGCTATAAAACAATGCATACTCTTTTACCTCCACGAAACCATCGATTCCCACCGGAAAGGGTACAGAGGATGCTTTGAAAACCGAGAGTGAACTTGAGTCCTGGAGGAACGGGAAATTTTCGGCAGACCATCGGAGACGGTCAGCTGATACCGAACGGGAAGCTGGTGCGAACGAGGTTGGGTGGATTTATATCTACCGCCAAGGGGCTATCGTCGCTCATGAACGGTTCGCCCGATGCTCATCGAGATATGACGATGGAAGAGCGACGTGATAGGAGTGATTACTTCCGATCGGGGTGGGATGATACTGATCTTGCAGTTCTTCATTGCGGATAATTCTCCCTGAGTGGCCCCGCGCCGATCGGTATCAAATCGATAAGGCTCCAAGTAGTCCTCAAACTTTTTCTCCCACCAAGCACCTGAGGGGGTCCGCAGGGGCTCCTCGGAGCCCCACGGCATCGATGTGTGAGCTATAAAACAATGCATACTCTTTTACCTCCACGAAACCATCGATTCCCACCGGAAAGGGTACAGAGGATGCTTTGAAAACCGAGAGTGAACTTGAGTCCTGGAGGAACGGGAAATTTTCGGCAGACCATCGGAGACGGAGCCCAGTTTGGGGAACACTGCTCCAAAGGTCCGAATCGGAGGAAAAGAACCGATCTGGCATGTTCTGGATGCTCACGAAATCCTCGCTCTCTGACCCCTCCCTGATCGGCATTGACGCGAGCGGACATGCAAAGCCGCAAATATCGGAATATACATCAGTACACAGTGACACCCCTCGATAACGGCCCCAAGTATCTGCGAGGGACGCTTGATTACATCGAACCGATAACCTGACTGAGCCTTTGAGATTTCCCCCATCAATTGACTCGGAAAAGGACCAAACAGGGTGGTGACGGATCTGTTTTTTCTACTTAATCTCGATAACGGTTGGGTTTAGAGAGAAAAGTGTCATGGCTTACCCTCACGGATTTTCGATTCTACATCCGAAAATGATATCCCCTCTTTGCTGGAAGCTCTGGTTTCTCGGATACGGTATCGGGTTCCTCCTCGAATCGATGGATCTCGACATTCTGAACAAAAAAAGCTGATGGGGTATTTTCTCCAGAAACCAAGAGTTTCCGAGATATCGGCAGAGAAAGTTTCAAACCATAGGCATCAATGGGTCATTGGATTTGAGAGATTGTGATTAGTTTCGATGGTGAATGATGAATCATCACGAAGCAATTCTGAAAATGAGGGTCGTGTCATCCGACCTAGTGAGACGGGCTCGGAGGGAATGAAATTCGAGGCAACGAAGTCGATTTTCTCTCGAATCCAATGATCCGTTGATTCCTATGGTTTGTAACTTTTTCTGCGCCAGTCGCGGTAGGCTGAAACCGAACAGCTGATGCCGATCGAGGCAGGTTAGATTGATACCGACCGCTATGAGGCTATCGTCGCTCATTAATGGTTCGTTCGATCCGTTTCAAGATTTGACGATCGGAGAGTGACTAGATATCACTGGGGACTTCCGATCGGGGTGAGATGATCCCGATCTTGAGTTTTCGATTGCTAATGATCCTCACTGGGTGGTCTCGCCCCGATCGGTAACAGCCCGATAAGGCTGTAAAGATCCGAGTGTACCGATCAGGCATTTTTTGATCCTCATAAAATCCTTCCTGGGTTACCCCACCGTAATGATCAGAATAAACCTACATCAGCATACAGCAAAACTCTCTGCCACAGATTCATGTATGTGTATGGTAAGCCTGGTTTCATGGGACCAATCACTCGGTCCCGAATGAGCCGGTGGGATTTCCCATGTTAATAGACTGGGCTGCAGCGAACCATACAAGGGTCACCCGCACACAACAAGACTGACACCTCGGCTCTCCTAACTCATTGAGGGCCTCTCACAGTCCTTTTCCGGGTATTCAAAGCTTCGGAAACACTGAACCTCGCTTTAAGGGAACACCGGTTAAAGGGATCCTCCGCTTGATCGGATCGCTCTCGGAGAGTGCCGATCAGTGGTTTCCGTTGATTTGAGCTCTGGTTAATCGGATCCTCGGCCTATTCGGATCGAGATTGCCTGGTCCCTATGTGTTCCTATCAAGCGGAGCTCACTGTATAACCAATGTTCGGCAAAACCCTCCAGGTCCCTTTAAACCGTTGATTGAACGAAGTATTGAATGTGCTATCTAAGGTGATTGTCGATGGATCGATCGGCCTCTCTCCTCAGACGCGCATATCTTACGATCGATCATCGCGGAAATCACGTGCTCTCGATGCCCTCCATCCCCGTCCCCTCTCCGGGATACGCCACTTGCTTCGGGTTAAGGACATACCATGAATTTCTCGACTATGATAAGACAGGATAGTGATGAGTAAACACTGATGACCCGTGCTCGCGCCCTTGGGCACTTCCAAGACTCCGAGACTTCTGATACATTTGGAATGGAATCAAGACTTGAGAGACGGTCCGAGTATGGTTGCGATGCGATGTATGGCAATGCTATCCATAAAGTTCAATATGTGCATGTCCCTTATGTCTCACTGCCAATAGTTCTTCTGATTGGTACCCTCCCATTCAATGAACGGAAGAAAAAAGTCCTGAAGAGGTAGTGCTCAAGCACTACCGTTGGTGGGGCGTGAAAACGTCCCGGTTACGCAACAAACTCTTGGAAATCTGCGGAATAATTGTGTTGCTTATGAAGAAATAAACTCGCGGTGATCTAATGTGATTTATGCGGATTCTGTGATTTTTGAAGCCTTTCTGCTTCGGCGTCGCCTGCCGCTTCACGGATGATTGTGTTTGTGGTTGTGGACAGTTGTCTTGTGCCGTTGTAATCTCGCACTTGGAGGTTCTGTAGAATGACTGCATCACCTTCTTTCCCATCTAATTTGCCGACAAACTCTGACCAGAGGCCAAGATTCACCATTTTCATACTGTCGTCGAGTACAGTAACCGTTTGTTTTTCGCGGTTGATACCATCTCGATTGTTGAAAGTTTGTGGTAGCCTCACGTCGAATACCACTACGAGGATATCGACCGTCGTCTTCACGGGCTTTGATAGCAGTTCAATGAGAACTGTGGTTTGCGCCTGAGTCTTCGGGAGATCGTTTCCCACGATCGGAACGACTTTACTCAGCTTGAAATAGAGATTTCGATTAAATCCCGAATTTTCTATTGGCCTATGATGATTTTTGCCCTGCGATTGTTATTCATGATTTCATCTGACCAATGATATGTGGAATACCTTCGTGAGCTGAAGCTTGCATTCATGTTCTGTCGCTCGGTACTGGGGATTCACGGCTTCGACCTTGTATGCATTTATCTTGTAGCATTGTCCAACCGTGATTATTCCAAAGATCTCCTCCGTTGAATCCCCTACCTAATCGGATTAATTATCGAGAAACATGTGTCGGAAGTGTTGTGTCGCGCGCCCCCATACCTGCTCATACCTGGAACATCGCACTATCTCCGGCTCCATTTCATGTGAAGCGCCGTGGCTTATGTCCTCAACAGATCCGAGACTCCCACTCTTCCCATTGCGAGCATGGTTCGTAGCTTGAGAATGTAGCAATGAAGCCTCCCGACGTCGCTTCCGATACAGAGCAGATAGCTCAGCTGCGCTCTTTGGCTTCTTGGCTGGCCCACAAGCCGAACTTTGGGCTTTTCGCTTGAGACGCCTCCTACTAGCATTTTTCGGCCTCATCTGGACGGTCGCTTAATCAAAGTAGATCAGTATGCGAACGCAGACACCGCGATGATCAAAAGGGATATCGCTGGATAACGAAGCCCGCATAAGATTTGATGAGTTCTGATGATCGCCTGAATTCTCCTGAAAATCTCTTTCGCGACGGCTCCTCAAAATGATATAAGTAGCGTCGGTGACGGCACACATCGTCGCCTTTGCCGGGCAAGCAATTCCGATCAATCCAGCGTCTGAGCACTGAGAAAAGCGATTATTTATGCAAGAATCGAGGTATCTCAGAGGGTTGCACGAATCACGCTGAACGGGAGCTCTGAGGACTCCAATCGGCTCCAAAATCGCGTGGAAGCTCGTGCCGTAAATTTTCGATACTATGGCACACACCGCGAAGATCTAGGTGTTCGGGGAACAAAGTTATGAAGCGTCAAAAGCGGATCACTTTCGTGACGCTGAGGACGAAGTACCCTTGGTCTGTATGCGCGATGAACTTAAAGACGTTTTCACGTCAAAACGTATGGAGCTCGAGGAGTGAATATAATGCCTCATCAAAATTATTCGGTCTTTCGTCTCCGACTTAGAGGCTTCTCACGGATGTCCTCGATGCTCATTAGAGGCTTGAATGTCTACAGAGTTTGTTCCGGGGTAAATGCGCGGGACGAGCCCAGTTGAAGTCATCGTCGGCGCCGCGCCGTTTACTGCCGACGTCCAGAATCATCATGGGGTCTTGTCTCTGTGGATGTCATACTGTAGAACTAATGTGGATACTATCGGCGGCTAACTGACCGAGGATCCCACCTGACCCGTCGATGAAAGAAATCAAGAAGAGTGAAAAGTGGATGCTACCAGGCAATCTATAGAAGAGAGCTGGAGTATTTCCCGACGAGCATAATTTCGTTTGACCATCTCCCTCTTCACTCGGGGACTCCATAATCTCTGGAAAAGTCCGTCCGCGATCCCTAAAATTTTCCCCAACAATAGCGGGATTCCCTCGGTATCACCTTATCGATAAGGGCCCTCTCTTGATCCCTGCTCCGCGTGCGGAGTCAGTCTTCGACACCTCGCCGTGTTGATTTGTGGTCTCAGATAGAATGATGAAACATTTTTCGAGATCTCAGGCTTCATCTTTATTTTTCATGAATGAGTTCAAGTAAGCTCCCCGCATTTTGGGACAGAAGTTCGCGGTATGGGCTTGATCCCCGCCACCGTTGTTGCAGTGAACACAATTGAATTTCCGGAGAATCGGGCAAACGACATTTCCTCGATTGTCCTTGACAGTATGACTCCGATAAGCATCTTTCGGAGCTCCGTTCTTCTTGCAAAACACGCAGAATGGGTCTGCTCGCTTGGTGTCGTCAAGGGAACGGGAGCTCCTTTTCTCGGAAGACGTACGTGCAACCCCGAACTCTCTGCCGGACTTGTTCCGACGTTTCCGTGCAAGATGTCGCAGGCTTTCCAACTGGGACTTCAAGATCTTAGCCGCGCAGGACCTGCGAAGATCACGACAGTTAGACACAGAACGAGAAATGAGGGACTATCCATTATATATGCGATGATAGCCCAAGGTATAATACTTACGGATTCGAAAGGTCCGCAGAGCTGAATCGATCCATGTTTGTGGTCAACCGGGGTTCCGACGGGCAGCGACCGATACAGACGACGTCACGAAGCCTTTTCATCCGAGACGATGCAATGTCTCCTCTTCATGAAGAGGAGAGGGTGGTTGAGAGAGAGATATCAGAAATGGACCTTTATGAACTTGAGAGAGGAGACCCCGCCCCTCAATTCTGACTGGCTTCGTAGTCCAAAATCAATGTTCAAGCATCGAAATATTGCGCATTGAATTAAAAATTGGAAACCGGGCTATAAAGCTGATGAAGATCCGGATACAGTCTATATCACGGTCCTCCCGACTCCTCTACTATTGCCCCGATTTTCTGCTCGAGTTTGCGCTTCGGAGTTTGGAGTCAATGCTTCATCGTCAGCTTCCATCTCAACCTAGCCTCAGTGTATACATCAAGATGTGAACCTGCAAAAGGATGCCTCGCTGTTGAGGAATCCAATCTCATTGTAGTACCACCGGGAAGGGGCACCCAGATGATGAGGAAATCCATTAATCGCAACCTAGACAAGTTCCACTCGGGGTGGTCGGAATCAATCCGTCTGATCTCATCTTCCGAGTGGCCGCCCGGGATGATTTCAGGGTTGAGAGAATGAATTCCGGTAGAATTCAGAGCGTTCGTGGGGCTGTTCTTACCATCGACATTGTGCCTCGGTACGCAGCACCGCCGTGCCGTCGACCCTCATCGAGGACTCAATGCCACCGCCCGAGTCTCAATGTTAGATGATGTTAACGTGAATGTGATGAAGGTCCCCAGGAACCCGTGACGGCGGATCTCGGATAGGGTGGTTTGCCGAGCTTAGAACGTTCGCACAGCGGGGAGATTCCCACGGAGGGGCCCTCTGAGTGGGGCGGATGAGAGGTGTCCTGACTTCATAGTTCGCTCGGCTTACACGATCGCCGCACCAGCACGCTTCAGTCGACTGAATTCTTCTTGTGGACAATTTTTGCAGGTGATTGGTGAGCGCTTTCTCGAATCCAGATCCTCCCTGTCGGCTCAGGGAGAATCCGATCAGAAAACCGCCGCCCTACAAGATATGTGGCTTCAACCATCATGCATCAGCTTATCAGAATAGGGCTCGCTCCATCCCATGACAATGTACTCTTCGGAAATTATTATTTAATCCCCCATCTCTCCTCGGCGTCGTGGATTCTTGAGACTCATTTCTCGTCCTGAGAGCGGGCAAGAATATCTCTCGCATAGGGGAAGATGCCTCTCTTAATCAGGATCGCTTGCTCACGGGAAGCCTCTACGGGAGCCGTGTAGTGGGTCACCTCTTGTTTTTCCCATGCTCCCGATCGCTCTTCCTATACCCATGATGTCGAGCGTGTGCATCAAGGTACATTCGCAGATCATACCCAACTGGACTTATCGGCTACGCCGCGCCGTCAGAGTGGCCCTCAAGGCAAAAATCCCCCTCCGCTGCATGCTTCTCAGCGCAATTCTGGGGAGGATGACATCACGTCCCCTCGCAGAAGGACTGCAATTGCGGCGTTGCAGTCTCCGGTGAAGAGAATGATGATTGTCAAGATCCTTGATTGCACCAAAAGAAAAAGATTCTCGTCGACACGCGGCAATTTACCCTCGACGTACTGTCCACGGCTCCCGCCCGGACTCTCTTCCGATCTCTTGTCCCCGACGATGCTAACCTCCGAGACATCGCCCTTCATTGCGCGCATGGTCCAGCCGAGGAATCTCGTAAGGTGTGGAGCTACGCAAACGAAATTATGGAGCGCGTGAATCTTATAATATGCAACATCAGGCTCATCATGATAAGCACCCGGATGAGAGAAGTGAGGAATCGAAATCGGAAAGAACCTTCTGGAACGGATTACCGCACCGTGATTGCGGTGCGGAATCACGGGGCCGACGCGGAATCAGAACGAGAAGCACTTTTCTGCGGTGTTCCGGTGTAACGGGCCGAGGCAAATCGCTTAAACCTCTTCCATGCGCATTACCGGTTTGCCGTGGTACTCGACTCGAAATCCAGGCCCAGAACGCTTCCCACTCAGGTTGGAATCCCCCAGCGCATGGTTCCCGTTTGCACGGCATCTTCTTCGCAAATCTTCAGCACATCCACGAACATGACCACTATCATCCATCAAGCTACGAATGCAAGGCAATCGATGCAACCCGCCGAGGTCCTTCTTGCCGTCTCAGAGGAATACCAGCTCGGCATACCGGCTTCAGTCTCGGGGATGGCGTTTTCGTGACGTTCCCCATCTCTCGGTCTCTCATTTCCGAAATCCTGCTCCCAACTGAGTGCATTGAGATGACAGTGGCTCATGATAAGGGCTCCTGTGTTAGGAGCCGTGACATTCAGCCTCGGCGCTGCTCTCCTCAACGCAGTGACCTCGTCGTAACACTTCTCGAAGTTTCCGCGGCCGTGGTTCCCTTAAGAATTCCGCACTTGAGTCCCTGACCGAGTAATGATTAGGAGACCAACTGATGGCTAAGAAAGCGAAGAAGTGAAGAAAACATGTTTCGGTACCTCAAGGTTCGTCTTTATTTTTCAGGAATGAGTTCAAATAGACTTCACGCTTCTTAGGACAGAAATTCGCAGTGTGGGCTTGATCTCCACCTCCGTTGTTGCAGTGATGGCAGTTGAATTTCCGGAGTACGGGACAAACGACGCTCCCACGGTTATCCTTGACGGTGTGACTCCGATAAACAGCCTTGGGTGCTCCATTCTTCTTACAGAAGACGCAGAAAGGATCTGCTCGCCCACTGTCATCGATCGAACGGGGAACTCGCTGCTCCAGTGGTGGACCGTCGACCGCTGAGTCTTCCCTAGCCTTGCCTGGAGATTTCCGTGTCAAGCTCTGCAGGGTCCCCAGCTGAGACTTCAGGATCTCAGCCGCTCGGGTTCTGGAAGAAATCATGGGTTCTTAATTCGCTCACCTCTATAAGTTGCATAACATGATCGGGCAGAAGCTCAAGGAAGTTACTTACGAGTCCGAGGCGTTCGCGAAGTTGAAACGATCCATGCTCGTGGTCGACCGCGGTGAAGTCGCAGGGAAGTATACCAGTACGGACGAAGTCACAGAGCTTCTGGGTCGGAGGGAGCCTCGAACATGACTTCGTATCAGTAATCAGCAGCGAGAGAGGACGAGAGAGGGAAATAGAGAGGAGTCAGTCAAAGCTGAAGGACCGCCCCGACAGATCCAAGAAGCCTAACGCCCCTCTACACGAGGAGCTCAACGCAAAAAAATCAATGTTAGATTCATGATCAACAATCACATCTCCAGATGAAAAAATTTGATTGGCCCTCTCTTCGAGTCTCGATCTTGGTCTTGGAGGCAGCGGCGGCCTTCGACATCGGGGGTAGACACCCATCAATGATGAATGATCGAGGGTAGCCATGAACACCCAATAATGATCCCAAGAGATCTCTAGCCTAAAATAATATTGAGACACCATCCGGAAGACTTCATCAGGTGGTCTATCCTCTGAGCGAATCCTCAATTCTTGTTGGCGATGTTACGTACCTTCCATGTTGACTGGAGTGAGAGTTTTCGTTGAGGCATCAAAGTCTAGGAGCGTCGCATCGTCGAGGTGCATCACGGCCTCTCAGACAGGCAGGATTCCGTCTCAGAGGTCGCGATAGACTGGGAAGCATCAAAAGGACCTGGCGGAATAAGCGGCGACCTGATTTTGTGTCTTCGTAGATGAGGATGGGGATTCCTATTTCGTCTTTGGAGCCGAAGCTAGCGGAACGGAGCTCCCCAGGAGGAGGGTGTTGGAGTCGACACCCCCGCTCCATGAGAAGGACGGAGAGGTCTCGGATGGCTTATGCGATTCCTTTTGAATTACCCCTTCCTGACCTAGACACTGCGGCTAAGCGTGGATCTCACGTGTCGGACTGGAAAACATCGCCAGCTGTAGCGCAGCGATTGACTACGGTGATAGTCCTCGACTCCGTCACTGCCGGTCACGACGAATACATACCGGAGAGAAAATGGACGGATACAGAAAACTCATCCCAAAGAATCAACCCGAGAAAGTCTATCGATGAGGGAAACTACCTACACAGGATCATTTTCAATTTCAGTGGACACTTCCCTGCGACCGGTCGGAGCTACGCAGAACAGGTTCTCATTCACAGCCGTGAACTGTCAGGTCAGAATCGCGATATTTCGCCGTCTCGCTACCCGGGCAGGCGGTGGGGTGTCGGTCAGTTTCCGACCCTGTGTGCTTCCACTGTTTTCATGATCCCCATTCCGTATAGAATCGCTAAGATGGTTTTGCCTGGGATCTGGAGCTCCGTATTCGGCTCTCTGGTATTCATATCGGCATAACAAGCGTCCGCATCATCCCTGGGAAGGCGATTGTCCGGATAGAACGACGGTTCACGCTGATTCGGAGCGGGAAAAACGTCAGTTCCGACTGAAATTGCTAAATACGAAGTCCCATGGCCTTCCGGCTCTATTAGCGCCTCTTCCTATTCCCCTTCGCGTTCACACACCCGTCTCACCCTCCGAAGCTCGATATGGTTTCAGAATACGAGCTCAAGCTAAAACTCCGTTCTCAGCGAAGCGAGCTCTTTAGAGCTTGACGCGATGATTCCCTGATCTTCGAAGACGGGAGATTTGATTCGAGAATAAATTTCGAATCCCTCGCTCGACTTACATATGATGTATATGACGCCAATGATGGAGATTCAATTTTTATACACAACAAATATAAATCATCCTCAGTGACTCGGAAATATTACTGAGCGTCATTCTTGTGGACGCATTTCGCGAAAGTTTGGGAAACGAGCAAAGGGAAAGCGATGGAGGCATCAGCACACACTTTCACCGGTTGAGCAGCGGCCTTAATTTTCCCCCAAGAAACAGCTTCGTCGGGTGAGGCACCTGAGTCGCTCCCTGGAATGAAACACAAATTTTATTCCACGGCTTAAGATCCATCATCTCGAACAGAGCAAGAATCGAAAATTTCCTATCTCGCGGTCTAACGCGATTCTTGCTGGGGTTGGAAAGGGGATGCGTTCCATATTGTCGCCTACCATCGAACTCTTGCCCCGTATTGATGTAGACAGCAAAATCAGCTCCGTTCCGCATTAGATTCGCATTGCAGATATGATGTTTGACCACACCGCCTCCCAGGATCAGCATTCCCGAATGCTGCGCCTTGACGGCCATAGAGTTTATGCGTCGGATGTCCTGTACCAGATCTACGACTAGACCCGGACTCCGAAAACTGTGAAAATACAGCATATCACCGATGCTCCCTGAAAACGTGAGGGATGAGTAGGAGGTCCAGCTGAATACTGCGAGAGATCCCTCGGATCCCCGCGAAGAATCACAATAAGACAATGGGAATTTCCCAACGAGAGAATCTCCGGGAGCAGCTGACCGTCAGTTATGGCTGGACAGAAGATTGGGATTTGATTTTTGTGAGCCCAGTAAGCAATCGAAGAGGGGTCGTTTATCCTCTCTCCGAACCGAGAGATCATTTTGCTAGGGCTCCAGATGATACCGGTAGCTTCCTGCTCCTTCAGCATTTCGTCGAGGACGGGTATGATCCAGTCCTCAAATTTACAATAATTGTCGTTCGGCGCGAGGAGGTTGCCTATCCGATTGATACCTGCAAAAGGAAGGTCCTCAGGAATCGTGTTCCTCTACCTCCATAACCTGGGATACGTCGCGAAGTTCGACCGTTCGCCCCTCGTGGAGCGAGCGAGTGATAAAGGACATCTTTGAGCACCTTTACTCCGGAGTTCTTGTCCTCTGAGGGAGAACTCTCCTAGGTAGGTAGGCGCCATGCACTTAATGAGATCTTCTTCAACTCCACCTGCCGTAGTTACCAAGCAGTCGACCTGGAGGGAGGGAACAACCATGTTAGATACGAAAACCCTCCTCTCCATAATCCGCGGACAGAGGATCTACATGAAGTCAAAGAATTACTTCACTTACTAGGTTATGCTGAACGAGAAACTTGATTATGTCACGGACTCCAGATGAGCCCATGTTGGATGTGTAACCCAGGAAGATTGTACAGTTCGTTCTACGGGCGATGAAGGGATCATCCTCGAGAGTGTCGAGGTTTTCTTTGGGAAGTTCCTGCGCTCGGCAATCCAGCTACGGGAGAAAATCAGCGCATGAAAATTCTCGTAGATCTAGCCTCACTGGGTATTGCTCCGTTGCTGCTTCAATGGAGAGACTTAGACTGCTTGAGCTACCAGAAGCTCTTCAAATAAGACGCCAAGGATCGATAGTCTCAGCAATCAGCACGCATTGAGAGACCACCATGTTTGGCGTGAGACATACCATTTTGTTGATTTCGTTGACAGCTCGAGCTAGCTGCGTTGCTTGGAAACCCGTGGTCAGCATCGAATTCATAAGTGTGTCAAGTTCGACTCTTGAATTGAAATCGACACCTTTCACCTGAAAAATCCCGATCTCTGTCCTGAGAATACATCCTCGAGAAGGGTCACGAGAGCTTGGGACTTTCGATCGAAAGTATCAAGGAGAAATCGAATGAGTGCAACATGTGCTATATCGAGATCGCGGAAAGAACACTCGAGAGGCAGCAATCTCACTCACTGTCATACTCCAATGTGTATCGGACTCGTGATCTAATGAGAATGATTGATTCGCTGAATTTCTGAACGCGAATGTGTCCGCAAAGCGGACACCTCTCCAGAGATTCACCGGTCGACGTAAACCGGCACAAGACGTGTAGCGTTGCCACGTACCTCAACTTTTTCTGCCACCGGGAGATCCTCGCTTCTCTTCAGAACCGCCTCGGTCGCCAGCTCCGGGGCGCTGCTCCTGGCCCTTTTCACTGCGGGACTGTCTCCCATTTAGAAGTTCTTTCCTCGTTATCACAGAGCTATCATTGGTTTCGTCGAGTTCTTTGCGGAAACCCGATTAGAATGCTCGCCGGTAAAGTCACACGTGAAAAAATAGAACGCGCAATGGCTGCCGCCATTTTGGTTTGACCGACAGCCCACCCGCGTCTGCTGCCGATGGCGCGAAGAGAGTCTCGCCGAGAAATCGCGGGCCATGGCTTCGAGACCGAATGAATGCGAGTCCAGTTTCCTCTTGCGTAAGGCAGCTCGGTCCGATTCGAACCTCGACGACATGAGTCTCAATCCAGACTTGGCATAACTTCTCTGTGCCCCCATCCGAGCTCTCAGTGAGCGCCGCTGCTCTTCTCGGATCATTTTCGACTCCGATCCCCGTCACTCACGTAGATAATGGGGTAAGTTGGCCTCTCTCATCGATGCTGGCTGGACTCATCTGCCGAACCGAGTTCACCTCTGTGGGTTCGTATTCTCGCGATCTTCGAATCGATGGGGCCCAAAGTTCCCTCCTGGAGTATCCTCGAATCGGGTACGGTCCGATGAGTTTCATAGCCTCGACGAGAAATCCTTCCGGAATCATTACCCCAAAACTCGGGACAGCGGAGCCGCAACTATAAAGCTCCAGGCAAAATTCCAAGGGGGGATATACATCGCTCGGCGTGTGTCGCCTGGGTTCGAGTCTTCGCAGGAATCGGGCATCCAATATGTTCAGTTTTGCCCAAATGCATCGAGGTGAAGTCGTAATGCGCTTACATTCACCGAAGACGGATGCGATTAAGCGGCTTGGCACTTCAGAATTTCCGCTACGGAGAGAGATATTCATAGCAGCTATGATTAGAGTCCTCTACATCCGGTGCGGCTTTTCCGTATATTCAGCGCAACTGTCAACTTCAAGTAATGAAGCTAAGTAGTTGCAAGCCACGCACGATGTGCAGGTGGCCGAGGGCGATGGTATAACAAATTAACATAGGCTTCTCTCTCGTGAGCAACTTATTTCAAAGACTATCCTATGATGATAAGGTTGGCAGGCGGCATCAAATGCAACATGTGTCCCAGGATAGCTCCGGTTGCGTTTCCTACAAACATGTCACAGCAAAAATAATCCCTGCTGTCTACTTATGCAGACACCCCGAACCCTTCTGAACACAACGGACGTCGACGTGCACAGTGCTCCACGACGACCGAGGCCAGTGCTAGTCTGTGACCTTCGTCAAGCAGGCAACTGGTTATACATTCCGCTCATCCAGAGTTACGAGCTGGAAGCTCTGTATGAAACCCGACAACGGGTGTTTAGAGGCATGGCACACGGCTGTGGTAGACGCGGCGGAGCTCCGCGTGGACTGGTCCGGAGAGGATGGATTATGTCCTAATGTAGGCCGTCCGTCTTCAGATGGAGTTGTGATTTGGAGCGGCCGCCGGGGGTACGGAACTGGTTTTCTGTCTCTTGTGACCATCGCTTCCGCGAAATCTATCGGCAGAGCTTGCCGCGAGCGTATTCGCGATGAAAGTTGATAGCCGGAAGATAGAAACTCCTTGGTCTTCGGAGCTCCCCTCGCGGAGATCTCTGAGGGAGTTGAGCGAAGAATAATCCGATGAGGCTCCGCAAGAGTCGCAATAACGCTCCTTAGATCGACTTCGGAATCACTGATCGTTGTCTGGAATGGAGTACCCTCGCGAACCATGAACTGGGCTATTCCTCTACAGTCTACAGAAAGACGTCAAGGAAATCGGCGCCAGCTCTAGGGAAGGGAGCCTCGAGAGTCGAGCTACAGATGTAGCGCTTCGCAGGCACCACGTCCCCCAGCGCCGTATTGTACCATATAAGCACACTGTGATAATCGTATGCATGCATGCCCCCGAGCCGCTGACGGCGCTTACCTGTCCCAATTTGCTGTCGGGCTTGACCCCACCGTCATCAATTTAGGTTCGCTATGAAGTTTGCTCAGAACTCACGCTAATCCGCGTGACCAGTGATGGGCCCTCATACCACGCATCGCGTTCGTCGGGTATCCTCTAGGAAGCGAGCGAAACGAAGCTCTCCGGGGCTCCCCCACTGTTGACGAGATATCCCAATCATTACGAATTTCAGAGCTTATAAATTGTGCCCTCGGCCTGCAACATGGGGCGCACATGCTGCTGAAGCGGCCTGAAAAAGATTCTTCCGCTGAGTGCTCGGAGTCTGGGGAGACGGGAGAGCTCTCGCTCCCAATGACCGCCGCGCCGGCGTGGACTTTTCTGCGCAGAGCCCATCGCGCGACGAAGAAGATCAGTCCGAGTCGACGCGCCATTTGAAGCGAATCGTCGCAGCTTTTATTAGGTTCTCCCTGATGCTCCCAGTGATGATGAACTAATGTGTGTCGAATCAGTCGAGGTTGTCGGAAGAGAGTAGCCTCGAAGAAAATAAATGGGAGCGAGCGGAGAACGGACCGTCCTACGCGTGCACGAAGGAACAAACAGTCGAGCAGCTTGCTCCCTTGGTCTGATGCAATCTGTTGTGCAGCAGGCGGCACCTGCCTAATAGGAAAACGTTTGTTGGCTAGGCGATTCATGGCGAAAGCGTTAGGCACGTTCGTTCGCTTTCCCACCTGCCTATTCTTGCGATGTGAGGTGCTGCCTCGGTCCGTCTCAAAAACGTCCTCTGTTGACGAATATCGAACATCGAGCTCGCGATCGATGTATCGACTTCCCCATACATAGCAGAAGACGACCCGTAGCGAAATTCAGTGCGCACCCCCGCAGATCTACCAAAGGAACTGAACATTGAGCAAGACTTACCGCCGTAAGCTCAACAGGCTGCAACGGAAGCAAAGCGTACGGATAGGCTCGTGCAGAGCCGCTACGTGAACTTGAACCGCTCCGCTGATCGCATCGCTCGACAATCAAGTGAATTACTGTCACCTGCTAATTGAATGGAGCCCTGTTTTTGACAACGAATCATTCTTATTAGAACTTTTATCATTCCCCGCTGTTATAAATCACGTGCATACAGGTTGCGTAGCTTGTTGACCTCAGGAGCTTCCGCGATTGACAAACAGTTTCAGGAGTCGGGTTGAGATATGACGTTGAGGGGGAGCTCGGACGCCCTCGCGCGAAGGATGGATCCGAGAGAAAAGGGGGAAGGAATCCAGGGGAATGCCGAATCGTCTGAATAAGGATGAGATTCGCCAGCATGCGGCCCAGTCGAATGAGGTCAATACTTCGTATTCTCGCTATTGGCTTCGCTACCGAGTGCCTCGAATGGGCCGGTTTGGGGCGGCGAGCCATGCTTCCTCGGGAAGTTGTTCTTCACAGTGTCCTCCACCGCCACTGAGGTTATTGAAGCACGTCATTCTCCAAAGTTCCTGAATCGGCTTGCAGCTAATGCTCTCGCGTGCTCGCTTGGTCATGGATCAAAACTTCGGGACTCTACGCAGTCCAAAGCTCCTCGAGGCCCCGACCTTGGTAGCACCCGAAGCCATGCATCTGAAATTTGATCGGCGAGGAAGCGATCAGAGAAGCCGGTGACGCATAGCTGGCCGTGCCGACCACAGGGAGTGGTGCGATGTGACCTGTCCAGCATCGAGGGTACATGCGCAAGTCCCTTCATGCACATGCGATCGTTCGCTTTCTCGGTAAATTCCCATCCTCTGGGATTCGAAATTGTTTTCGATTGACGTGACCTTTCTCGCGGAGATTTCGAAACTCCTGACTATGATTCGCGATTCTTCGCGATCGGATGAGGTCGATAGCTAGGGACTCGCTCGAACAAGCTGTTTCATTCAGGCTGCTTGTAACTGACAAGATGGTACGCCAATGTCCGCCGTCTAATTTCTGCTTCGTACGGAGCGAGTGAAAATCGATGCCCGCCGATGATGAGGTCGCCTCGTTCAATTTCTCCATTGCCAGAGTTCGCTTTGTTCGACTCGTTCAGTATTCATGCTTCCGAGCCGTGCAGTCCTCGATCGGAGCGGAGACTCTGCCCACGCTGTCGATCTGCCTTTCTCCGAGTCACAGAATTCGTTTCCGCCGGAATGAAGAACGGATTCGAGCAAGTTGACGGCGATCGTCAAGCCACCAAGTTCGAGTGGACGGGTGTCGAGCTCCACAAGTCGTGAGAGATTTATCTTCGAGCAAGGTTTTCATAGCTGCGGTCGTGCCGCTGAACGTGACCAGATCACTCGGAAAGAACCCAGGCGTTTGTCCTGTCGTCGAACTCGGTCGGGACGGGAGGAACGCTTTGTAACCCTGGACGGTATAGCTGACAGAACTCGGAAGATCTTTGCGCGCAAACCATGGGATTTACAACCGGCCGCTGGCTTTTGAAACGTGCCAGCTGGTCATTCCAATGCTCGAGTATCGAGTCCCATCTCCCAAAGAAGTTCGTCGACGTCTGTGCATTCCGGAGGCTTGCCGAGCGAGAGGAGGAAACGGTAGTCCACCCTGTGATGCGGTCTGGGATGATTTGCGGAGGTCGTTCCCCGCGAGATTCCTCCAAATGAATTATTGAACGGATGCGATCCCATGATGTTCACATTGTAGGAATTCTCCTCTTCATGAAGAGGTTTTCCCTAATGATCATACTCTCAGATTCGGAGCCTAAGCACCCACCCAGTCGGGTGCTGCCCGTGTGACAGCAAGCCTCCTGAACCCTGGGCCGATGAGGAGGTCGAGAGTCGGAATCGGATTCTCCTTTGAAAGGTCGGGACCATGTTCATATGATGTCTACTAATGACATTCCCCGTTACGGCTCAGAGGTATCCGGCCGAGAAGGCTTCGACTTTTGTTACGGACCGCCTTCCCAAACTTCCGAGTGATCGCTGCGAGCGGAAGCGCTTCCAGGTCAAAAACGCCCTGCTCACGGGCGACTCGAACAAGTCCCAAGTAGCGCGATTCGCCATCCTCTCGATCGTTATGATGACTCAGAATACATTCGAGGGCCGCACGAGAAGTTCAACTTGGTTCTGTTAAGGTTCTCCCCTCTACCGATCGACTCGATCTGACGTCGATCAGAGACCTTATGCGCCGAGCTCCTGACCCCGGAACTTTGCGGGCATTGATTGGAAGCATGTTCGTTCGAGGATGGGTCGATTAGCAAAAGCGGTCCGGCCGGTGATGTTCGATACCGGCATTCACCCTAAGAAAATACAGCGGCATAATGCGGGATCGAGGGAATCTAAGAAAAACCCAGCTCATCGAGCTTCGCCGCCCTTTACGTCATGCACCGCAAGAACTTCTTGTCCTCGGGAATATCGATCTTTGATTCTCTAGTTCACCTCCAATTATCCACCAAGTCGGCAAACTGAGCTCCCAGTCCGCGACGACCGGTGTAAACCATTTCTCGTAGTTCGGTGAGATCTACGGTATCCCGCGGTAGATATATCAGCGGTCAATTTCCGAAGTTCAGCGGAACATTCCAGGTATCGTTCGAGAAAGATTTAAGAGCTTTTTTCATTCAAACAACACCTGGAGTTCAGGGTTGTACTCCCACTCCTTGGTCTGTTCTGGCTGGAGTTCGCACTTTGGGTAACGATCCGTATTCGAGAGATCCGAGACTTCACAATTGGACACAGGATCTCCAGCAGCCCCGGGTAAATGATTCCGTAGGAGGCGACGACCGAGAGTGACTCTCCCTCAATTGTCAGACAAACGACGACCGGAGACGCGCACCGTAGGCGGTGTCGCGGAGCATGGTGCCGGCGCCTCTGGCCTGCTCGAGGATCGTGCGTCTTCGGGGCTGACTGAGTTTTGGCGGCAGGAAACGCCAATGGCATCTCGCAATCAGTCCGTCCTTGTATGGTTCTGTGGCATACCCGCAGGAATGACACAAGGGACTTGGGAGCTTGCCGCCTGTCTTCGAACACTGTTCCAAAACTCGGGAAGCATTTCGCAGCATATTTGCATTATACGCCCGGGCCGCTCGGATTTCCGGTATATCTCGTGGCTGGAGCTCGGTCTCAGTAGCAGCGGATCAATGAACATGCTTCATCATGTCGACGATTACGACCGAATACTCGCGCCCAACGATGCCCGAGCACGGGGAATAATATTTCGACGAATCGTAGCTGTTGCTTTGCTGCAAACTTTCCAAGCGTCCTAATGGTGCTCTCCTGTTCGAAGGGTCACGTGTCGACTTCGGGATGACGGAGTCAAACAACATTCAACATGCAGGTGGTAGCAAAGCGGGGGATGTCTTGGCGCATGGCATATTGTAACGGCAGAGCTCCCGAGCTCGAAGTAATAGCTTTGAGCGTCAAACAACGCCTGGCGGGTTCGCGAACTCGACCGCGCGCTTTGCCACTCGCTGAACAAACCGTCCTCCCACTCGCTTGTCTGGCGAGATCGGACGAACGAGGACGGCGGTCGTACGTACAGGCTGGCTGTCGGCCGGTCGGTTGGCCGAGCCGGCGGACTAGCAAGGGGTAAAACGTTGTCATGGGTACGAACGAAATAGCGGAGAGGCATAAGAGAGGGCCCGAGTCACATTGAAGGAAGGAAGAAGGAAGGCAGGCAAGCGAGCGATCGTCAGGAAAGAACTCCCCAGTCTTGTGGTGGACCCCGACTGTGCTCGACGTACCGTGAATTGATACCGTTTTTGGAGCGCTTACAATCATTGTAGGACAGCTTCAAATGTGATCGCTACTCGATCGTTGCGATGATGTGCCGCGTTTGAAATTGTGCGTCACCATAATTCGGTTGAACACTTTTGCGTGACCTCCAAGCGGTCGTAGTATCGTCAGGAGGAGACGCGCTACGCTATACGCTGCAGCAGCACTTTTTAGCATTGGCAACGGAAGGTCGGACAACAGCGCAAGCAAGCACATAGCGTGGGCAGCAGGAGAATCACCAGCAGTGCGAATCGAAGGGATTTTTTCTAAAATTCGAAAATCGGAAATAATCCCGAAAACTTGTGTCACTCTCGATTCGGCGACGCAAGTGGCGGCGACAACGACGACGGATACGCGCACTGTGCGAGAAGCCATTTCCGGACACAACTGCCAAATCCACTTAGATTGAGCGCATTGTCAAGCGAAAGGAATGAGTTGACAAAGAGCGCAAAACTCGAATCGCACATGAGAGACAAATAGGCCACTTGAGCTCGCATCCACCCGCCTCTTGCCTTCGACAGTGAGTTTGCCGGTTCAGACGACCGGCGCAGAGGAAACGAAAAAAACGCGACGGGACCCTACGCCCGACCGAAAGCTGACTAAGAAGCCTAAGAACAAATGAAACAAGTCGTCGTCGTTGTTGTCGCAGCTTGCATCGAGCCACGTCTCGGATTCGGAGGAGCGACGGTGTGACAAATCTTCGAAGTGAACGCTCAATTCGACGATTGCTAAGCTTAGAGAGCGCGTTGAGGTGCAGAGTGAGTTAGACACAGAAAAACCATCAGCAACAGCAAAGAAAAAAACGGGACGGAGCCGTACCATACTTAACTCGTCTTGCCAAAGCTGCCGCATCTCGCGAACACCAACGCTTCAAGATGCCGCCTAAAGTCGAGCGTGGGGGCAGACCAGGACAACAGCGCACTGAATCAAGTGAGTACTCCATTCTCTTTGTGATTCCTTTATGAAGCTCCCGAATCGCCCCGGATACCGCAGAGGGGACGTGATCTCGCGGCGTCGGTGGCCAGGATTGGATGACATGAATAAGCGTCGAAGCTCTACTTGATTGCTTCAGATTGGAATTTTCCACAAACCACCCCGAACCAGCCCTACCCATTCTAATCGGACGCTATCCAGAGCTGTCCGAATGATTTCGCGACTCCTTGATTAGAGCCGCTCCCTACTTCGTTCGGCGAGTCAGTGATTCTCCAGCCCGTAATTCCGGAAATTCCTTGAATATGACGATGTCGTTCAGTCTCGACAGCGTAATCTCTCCGAGGTTCAGTGCAAACTTCCACGGCATCGTCAGCGACGGAAAGTGCCCCGGGACGCGAGTTCATCGCTCGAATGAAACTAGTTTCCCGAAGTTCGGCTGTGTGCTCGGCCAACTGTTGCTGGAGGACACTCGTCGGCTCTGAAGAGAAAGGTTGTGATGACTCTGTCCGCTGTGTTCTGGTGAAGTTGCCGCGGCCGTTGTGGTTGTAGCTCCCGCAAGGGTCCCCGGAGCTGCTCATAATGTGATTTGCATGTTATGAGATGAATACATACATATACGCCACGTTCTCGTCTCCGAATGGCGTCTCTGACTGCGATTCTCTTTCCGAGATATCTTCAATGTGACTGAGCTTTGATCAGGGATTTAGATTGGGGGCTTTCGAAGAGTCACCAACTTCCAAACACTCGGGGTTTCGACTTCTGAATGCACTCTCCAAAATATATGACCGTTCCGTCTGCGAGAGGAAACTCGTCCCTCCTCCTCCTCCTTTTCGTCCCCGCTTCCGTACAAGTAGTCAGCGTCGCCTGAGTTCCCGCTCCATTTGGTCGATACTCGCCTCTCTGTCCGGAGAAAACTGATGGTCGCGGATAGTTGGAAGAATTCCCCGGTAAGGACGCAAGCGGTATTGTCCGCAAGTGTGTTTGGCGATTAGAAGAATCGTGCTCCCTTAACGCTGCCCGGGATTAAGCAAACGACGATACTCTGTCTATGCGCTTCCCGTATGGCCGTATGGTTCCTCGCAGCAGCTGGTGGCAGCTGCTTCTGGGAGAGATCGCCGACGGCCTTCAGAGGGAGTGGGAACGCCATCGACGGAAAAACCCGGGAGATCCTTCGATGGAAAGTGACAACATAGTGTGAATTATAAACAACGGATGGCATTAATGCCATCAGCGAAATATCTTATGCCTCGGTAATCACCGCGTTGCGCCAGTTTATAGTTTCTTGATTGCTTTCCTTCAGGCTGTCGCGTTATACTCACGAGCCTCGTGATAGCTCCCATGACCTCCTCAGGCCGTTCCGGCTTCAGTCTATTGTTACCTCCGTGCGGATGCGGCTGCGTGCTCCCGCCATCCGCGGGAATCAGTCAGGATCGCGGGTGAGCGGAGCCGCCGGCTTCGTATTTGCGGAGTGGAGACTTTCTTTTCTTTCGGTAGCCGCATAAACTCCGGGAATCTTAAGCTCCAGGAGCTCCCTCATGACGCCTCATGGGGGACCATTGTTGGGAGACCTGCGCCGTGTCGCAAAATTCTTCGTTCCTGCGCTCCGGCCCCTGATGGAGAACCAGAATCTCTTGCTAATCTTCTGATCTGAGCGCTTCGCAAAGGTTTCAGGGACGTCTTACCCAGTCACTCCGCGGTTCAGAGCTTTCAAGACCTGCTACGAGAATTTCCGATAAACGGCATCTCCTAGACGGTCGCGTTCGCGAAGAATTAAATCGCCGTGTCTCCGTCAATTGGCGCCATTTCCTGGCGCACAAAAAACGAAAACTTCACGGCGAGGACGCTCGATCTTTCCGGGAGGCTTCCAATAACAGGACGGTATTCGCCCGATTCGCCCCGAGAGATTCTCAGACTTGACACGCCCTTGAATGACCGAGAGTATTCAACAAAAAATCCCACAGCGGGGACAGGCTTTTCGTTTCTTTCGAGCTCCCCCTAGTCCATGAACGTCGCTCACTGTCTCCAGAAGCTGTCAGACATTTCCCTCTTCCTCCGATAAGTCGAGTCTGTTCGGATGAGCGGCGCGTGCCTTGAAAATTATCCGACGATGATCCCCTTGGAGTCCGAAGGAGTTTCAAGAATAATTTTCTCAGTCAAGTGAGCACCTAATTTAGCGCAGGCGGATTTAATGCAAATTCGGGATATGAAGCCACAGGGAAATGGTATGGTCATCTCCGCTGCATTTTCCGCATCTCCGGGCTCTCTATCGATCCATACATCATGAGTCGGCGGCGACGGAGGTCTCGAGAGCGGAATGATGATAAAGAGAACGTCGCCACAAGGGAGAGATAAACGAGATGGGACAAGCGACAGAAACAAGGATACTAGAAAGTCTGCCTCGAAAGCAGGACACGACGCCGGCGAAACAAACAACGGCGAATACTTCGCGCTTTTGGAGAGTTTGTGGTATGATTCGGACAACACGAGCTGCGCACGATGCTCTCGAGCGGAAGTGGGACACGATCGAACTCTATGATGAGAGTTTCAGGGGTGTTTCGGACCGCAGGAGTGGCAACATCCATCCCAAATGATCCAAATGATCTGATCTGACTAGAACCAGCCGACTAGAATCTCGATGTTTCTGAATCGATGCGAATTATTTTGATTCATCCGCTCTCTAGGATTAATTCCGAAGAAGTCCCCGAGAATGCCTCGCGGAATGCGAGAATTTTCGCTCCCCAAAGCTTTCGGAGGGCATATTGTCTGCTATGGCGAATGAGTGGCACTTGAATGGAGCTGTCGGGTGTTCCGTCACCCACTCGGTGAACCAACAAGTGGTTCCTCAAACCTTCGCATTGCGACCCCACCGAAATTTGGCTTTTGGCCAGGCGTGGCTCGCATTTATTCCTCGGACCCATTTTTCCTGGAGTGGATCTGACAACCGCGAGTTAGGGTCGAGCTGGTGCGCCCTGACCGAGCCCGGCGACCTCGCTCGGCCATCCGGCTCAAGCGCACCCTCTCCTGAACCGCATCCGCACACACAATTCCATTCCCGAAGGAACCGAACGAGAACCTTCTTCACCCGGACGGATAATTGAGTTTAGCGGCGAGTCCGTCTGAGCAGGCGGGCGGACACCGACGCAAAAAGCTGAGAGAACGAGCGAACAACAAGATGCCTCACACAATCCGCGCGGGTAAATGCAACAGCGGAATCAGTTTTTCCCCTCCTGTGGAAACGGACTGAGATGAGCACGAGCGACGGGACGCGGCCTCGGATTCGCGACAGAAACTCGTTGAGCCCGCCGACGTCGAAAGGATGAGCGGAGCATTTGAAAGAACGAGCGTGGTTTTTGGAATTGGGAACTCCATGCCAGCTCCGTCTGCCATCGTGCACTTCGTGTCTCGCGTCTACTCGTGTCGTCCTGCAGCAGATGCTGATTGGATTGAATTTCTCGCTACGGCGGCTCCGGCATTCCGGGCATCACGAATTTGGTGATGACAAGATTCGGCGATGAAGTAATCAGAGTTACGGGGAATCCTCAGAGCTTTTCGCTCCTTTGGCACCTCCACTCGCCTCATCAAAAGCACCGGCGCATAAAGGCGAGTCTTCGCCCCAACCGAAAATGAGCTTTGAGCGGGACAGTCGAGAGAGTATATCCAGCTTCACTTACCAAGTCGATTCTACTCCGCTCCTGACCGTCGATAGTTAGTCTCTGCCTGGAGAGAACTCTCGCCGGTCGCGTCGCTCTAGAGCTCAATTCCCCGGATGGATCCCCGTTTAACGTCCGATAGGTTTCGGGCGAACGTTGCGTTCTGCCTGACCGAGATTTTGTTCAATCGACGATGAGAAATACAGCATGCAGCAGAACGGAGCAGCGATCCGTTTGTTATTTCCGACGGCGTTGACGATAGGAGCGAGTATCGATTTTTCGGCGAACTTTCAATCGAGAAAACCCTTTGGAAGGATTCGGTGCTGGCGGAGTTATGCATCGCGGTGGTGGATGGAGCGCGTGGTTCCTCGGCTGTGTACGGACCAGCGAGCGGTCGGGCGAGCGACCATCCGACCGAGGTCCGCGTATGAATGCGATCGGTCGGTCGACGGCTCGGGTGGGCACTCCGGCTGCCGACGCAATAAAATCTTCCATCACATTAGTGGTAGCCGAACACGTTCCATCCATCGTCTCCAAGATGAATATTAGAAAGCTTTCTTTCTACATGGTCAGACATAATAACAGTATCGTAGAGTTCATCAATTAGTTTTGCTGCGCGAAGAATGTTCTCCGTCGACATGCGGTCCGACCCGGTCAAGCCTCGACTATGAGTTTCGGGTAGCTGAAGGAGAGCAGGTCAGACTTCAGCCATTTCCATGCGATGATCCTCCTTGCTCTTCCATAGCCTAGAGCTCGGCCTGGATGCACGAATTGTTCAACGGCATCGGTCGAGATGTGAGAGAAATAAATGACCTTGGGCTCCACAGTACGCATTGTTCTTCAAGTTTTTGCGGCCGAGCTAGCGAGTCTGTTCTCTTTCCCGGGGAGACCTTCACAAGGTCGGTGTACCCTCCGCTTCGGAACTCTTTCCACAGCTCTTTCCTGTCCCACGTGCTGGTCTGGAAACTGGAGTCTATTGTCATCGGACGAGTTTTTGCACTCTCGCAACATCGGAACTTCATATGAATAGAATGCAACAATTTAATTCTTTTCCACGCTCGGGCGTGACTCGACTCCTCTCGCTCGGCTTACGTACCACCTGTGGATGCAGTCAGACAGCGATGGACCAGCGCTTCCGTTCGAGTTCGGGAAGCGGCTTCGAACACGATCTGAAGAAGGGGTCACCGAATCGGGCTCGCATCACATGAATTCTCTACGAGTGAACAAATGCATGGTTTCCACATCGGGTTCAGATCTCGATAGAATTACATATATGGCGTGGTCGGTCTTCGACTCCGCTGGGAAAACTCCTCTGAGGAGCGAAATGACCCGGTGAATGAGATCGAT